CCTGTGCCATTTGTAACCTGGCATCAGTGACGTCTTTAAAAAATAATCGGAATGTTACAGAACACGTTCGCCAACAGTGGACATTTCGGATCACCTTGGTTAGCCTTCAGGGAAAACAGCCTACCGCATAAAAAAAACCAGTGCCTCCCTGAGCCCGGTCACGTGGTGTCTCAGTGTGCAAGTCCCCATTGTTGTGCTGTCTCCCGCGTCTGTTCCCCACTGATCTCGATGACAAGTCAGATGACGCAGTCTCTGAGTCAATAAACGGGTGAAGAGAATTGGTTCCTCTAAGACTTGGTGAAGTATTTTCAATAAAATCATAACACAAAAGTGAGAAACTGCCAGAATGTTCTCCGTTTGCTCCTAGACCACCACTTAAATTACATACGCTCTTATCTGTGTGTGTTTGCATGCGGCAGACACATTCTCCAAGAAAAGGGGACGTTAAATAATCCCTTCACACTCAGTCTCAAAACGACTGTAAAATACTGTCTTCTGTGTCCAACCTGAGCTCTCCGACCAGAGCAAGCTGGCCAGGAAGCCGCCGACAGGGACGGACTCCCCTGTGTACAAGGGTGGCGTGTGTCTGTCGTTCACGTCATAAACGCAGACTGGGAACTAGTTCAGTTCACTGCAGACCCCACGCAAGGCAGCGTTACACGGATTCCCCGGGGGAAGGGCTGTGGATCCCCTGTGAGCGATTGGAGACGCAGCCAGCTTACCTGACGTACAGATCTGCATGGTATTTCTTTCCATTTAGGACACCCAGCAGTGTTGGATTTTCATTGTTTCTGAAATTGAGTGTACAGTCATATACAGCTGAAACTATAAAAAAATAAAACAAATACAAAGCAGTATATAGAGCGTGAACCCAGTTTTGTTCTGCAGATACACACATTGGAAAACGACAAAGCGCTAGCTGGTCAGCTCGGAAGGGTGCGTCACTGGTTGCTGCTTCGTGCTTTTCCATGCTGTCCAGATGTTCCACATGGAACACACGTCACATCTTGTAACCGGAAAAGCACCCTACAGCTTAGTAATGGAAAACACAATCGCTGCTGAGGCCAGAGCCCTTCAGAGCAACACCGCAACGTCCCATCTAGACGTATGACAGCAGACGCCAACGTTTAAAAAGGACCCATAGTCAGATAAATTGATCCAATAATGCTATCGGAGGCTGTGTCTGAGCTATGGCAGCAGGACCATTCTATGTGCATTTTTCCCCTAGAAAAATAAGATAGCCGTGCACTAGAGCAAGTACGGGATTGAACTGTAGTCACTGGAAACATGGCTGAGAAGCAAATAAGAATCTGTGATTTTAATGCCCCAGGGTGAGCAACACCACAGGAGACCCCCTCGCTGTCCACGTGGCACCATCTGACCCGCACCCCTGAGCAGGCCAGGGAGGAGACCCGAGGGCCAGGCCAGTGAGCCAGGCCGTGTGGACAGCGCGTTTGGGTGCTGTCTCCCTCCCGTGCCGTGCCCAGCCTGTGCCGGCATGCAGCCTGGCATCGGCGTGCTGTGATGAAGGCTGTGCAGCCAGCCACCCAGTGCCCCCGCTCAGCCCCCCACCCCTGTGGAGACGAGGGACGGGGAGTACGGCTTTGGGAGGAGGGTTGGTTGTGTTGCATTTCTAAATTGATGGGACAGGACTGAAGAGACAGGAAGTCGTGGCAAGAGACTGGAAACAGCTGTTGTTGATACTTTTTTATGTCACCTGCAGTCACTCAGGGCTCCAACTATGCCACAGATGGCAAAGTCAGAGCTCATCATCGGGAGGCAGCTGGTGCCAACAGGTGGGCAAGAAATGCCAAACAAAACGACAGCCCAGGCTGACCCAGTGCGGAGCCACACGGAACCCCGTGAGGACCTAGATGCCCCGGGTCCACAGCCTTGCAGTATGGTGCTGGGCAGTGGAGAGCAGCGTTGGCTTAGTGTGTGTGTGAATGTGTGTGTGTGAACGTGTGTGTGTTCGTGTGTGCAGGCAGCAGCCAGGGGACTGGACCCTGGCTCACCAGCTGTGCACGTGCCACCCTTACCCCCAGAGCCCCTCCCAGCTACTAGCCCGTCAGGGAAGTGGTACCAAGGGCAGAGCTCTGCGCAGCAGGGGTGGGGTGGATGCTTCTGCGGGGGCCCAGCTGTCCCTTACCCACGTCTCGCAAGCCCCTCACGGTGATGGCGAAGCCTTTCGTGCGTGGCAGCAGGTGGTGCTTGAGGCCGGGCAGCCCCTTGGCTTGGGCCACCTGCATGCTGATCTGGTGCTTCTTCTCTGTGAACCGAGTGCCCTCACAGTGAATCAGGAACTGCAAGGGACAGGGCGGCAGTCACACGGGGTCCCAGCCGCATGCTGCCCCCACCCCCGTCGTACACTTTGGTCACAAATGGTCCCACAGGAACCTTTGGGCATGGCCAGAGGGGCGATGGCCTGGCAGTGGCAGCTGACCTCCAGTTGGCCCAGAGGCCAGTGTTCCTCTGCTCACGGCTCAGGGCAAGACCTCTGACTAGTGTGTATGTGTGTGTGTGTATGTGTGTGCATACATGTGTGTGAGATGAGCATCCTGAGTGTGTGAATGCATGCCTGTGCGTATGTGTGTGAGACAAGCACCTTGAGTGTGTATGTGCATGTGTGTGGGACAGCTTCCTAAATGTGCGTGCATGTGTGCATGTGCGTGTGAGACGAGCATCCTGAGTGTGTATATGTGCATGCACGTGCATGTGTGTGCATGTGCGTGTGAGACGAGCATCCTGAGTGTGTATATGTGCATGCACGTGCATGTGTGTGCATGTGCGTGTGAGACGAGCATCCTGAGTGTGTATATGTGCATGCACGTGCATGTGTGTGCATGTGCGTGTGAGACGAGCATCCTGAGTGTATATGTACATGCACATGCATGTGTGTGTGCATGTGTGAGACAAGCACCCTGAGTGTGTGTGTGTGCATGGCCATACGTGTGTGTGAGATGAGCATCCTGAGTGTGTGCATGTGTGATGAGCATTCTGAGTGCATGTGCGTGTGCGTGTGTGTGAGATGAGCAGCCTGTGTCTGAGTGCGTGTGCGTGTGTGTGAGATGAGCAGCCTGTGTGTGTGACAAGCACCCTGTGTGTGCATGTGTGTGAGACAGCTTCCTGAATGCGTGCATGTGTGCATGTGCATGTGAGACAAGTATCTTGAGTGTGTATATGTGCATGCACGTGCATGTGTGTGTGTGCGTGTGAGAGAGAGCATCCTGAGCGTGCCTATGTGCGCCAGTGTAGTGAGGTCGTCGCAAGGTTTTTGCACTGGTAAGGTCAGCGGGCAGGAAGGACCGAGGCCGTGAGTGCAGCGAGGCCGCTGGGCGGCAGGCCGTGGGGCGCACGGGCCTCACGTACGAAGTACTTCTCGGGGTAGTCCCGGAGGCGCAGCAGGCCCTTCGCCACCGTCTTGCGGTCGTGCTCCCACTTGCGTGTGCAGAAGACCATCTCCGTGAAGTACCACATCCAGCCGATGATGGGGACGTAGGCCAGCTCCTTCTTGGCCAGGACCTTGGAGCCCTGCAACAGAGGAGGGGCCCGGGATGTCCGTGACGGGTATTGGGCCTCCCTGGCGGCTGATGGAGATCTTACTAGAAGAAGAGGAGTGAGCGTCCACTCCAAAAGCCTGAGGGGACAGCCCGGGACACAGCGAGTCAGTGTGCCACGGACCCGGAGCCTCCCTGCCGGTCAGCTGGAGGTCAGGGTGGTGCCCCACGTGGGGCGAGGAGGAAGGGGCCTGGCTCCGTGGGGGAGGGCGGGCGTCTGGGCAGGCGCCGGGGACAGGAAATTCAGGGTCACGGATGGCCATCAGCCAAGGGACTCCAGGTGGTCACCGTGGTTTCGGCTCACGGAGCCCATCGTGCGGTGGTGACAGCTGTCACGAACTTCCTGTGCCTCACTCAGTCCTCGGCCAAACCTGCTGGCTCTGCAGGGCTATCGCTGCCCTTCCACGGACCAGGAAACGAGCCCGAGGCTTCTCTGGGTCACTCGGCCAGGAAATAATGGTGGAGCCGTGAGTTAGAATCAGGTTAGCAGGTCATACCGGGAGCTCTCACCCTGTCCCTTTGCCAGCTCCTCTCTACGGCCAGAGCGGTGCTGGGCACCTGCCTGAGGCTGGCTTCAGACCCAAGGATCTGGCCCACCAACAGGGGCCCCCTGGGCTGCGGGTCATGGACCCCTAACCAGCTGTGCCCGGCTGCCGCCAGCAGGGGGCAGGGGACGTGCAAAAGCAGCTTTTTATCAAAGTGGATTTGGGCTCTACATTTTTCACCCTTAACTTTGGAATTAGCTAAGATGCTCCTTGAAGTAGCCGTCATCGGTCAACGGTACAGACGACTAAGGTGGTAATGTGGACAGTCAGGGCGGCCTTTGCTGAGCTCCCGGTGACAAGTGTCTGGATATGCTCCTCAACCCGCAAGGTAAAGAAAGCAAAACTTCTACACGGCCCTCTCTCCTCTCTTCCCCGTCCCCTCCAGGACAGCTATGAAGCTCCATCTCGGCAGAGGGACAACAGGCCATGTCCCCAACCTACCATGCAGACCATGAGAAGCAGTAAACAGACACTCCTTTTACCTTAAAAAAACCACAATCTTCCCTACGGTGAAGAGGAAAAGCACAGATATATTTCAGATTTAGTGCGTCCACATACTTTGTTTTTCCCACAATTACATGCAAATTCTCTCGAAGAGAACAAAGCCATGAAGTCCCCGTGGGTCAGAAAACTCGCCACGTGTGGGGTGAGGGCTTCCGTGCACCAGACACAGACTACACACTTTGTATAAATCCTATTTGATTCTAAACCAATAAGAATAGCCCATTTTACAGGTGGTCAAACTGAGGCTCAGAGATGTTAAGTAACTTGCCTGGCACTGCACAGCTACCCGCTGGGGAAGCTGAGAAATTAGGCCGGGTTGTCCATCAGAGGCCAAAGTCCCCAGGCCAGAGGCTGGGTGACCTGCCCCATAGCCATCGCCCCCTCCTCCTTCACCAGACTGTCCATTTTGTTCAGAAGGCAACATGCTCAGGCTCCAGGCCAGCCCAGTGTCTCCCTGGATGCTTCGCTTAGTGTGGGCACATGACCCGGTTCCAGCCAAGGTGACTCAGAGGTCTGCTGGGGGATGCATATGTTTTGGAGTTTCTGGGAAGATTTCGAACCCTGAGAATAAGAGGTGCTGGTTTTCCTGCTGTGAACACAGTTGCTGAGAATGTCACGGAACGCCGAGGCCATCCGGGCCACCGCGGGAGGTGTCTGGCTGCAGCCCGGCTGTCCTTTGAGATACGGATGTCTTCATGGCTGAAAGCACTGGAACCAGGGCCGGGGGCCTGAAGAAGTGCTGGGCCAGAACATCCGTCACGTTACCGCGAAAAATCTCCCGTCTTCTCTTTCAGCAGGGAGGAGAGGGCGAACTGATCATCCTGACTGCTGCTTTCTCGTGCCATACACCAAAAGGAAATGCCTGTCACTCAAGAGCACGAAAACACACTGACCTGAGAATTAACCATTCCCCGCAAGGAGCCCAGTGAAAAGCCCATCCGCTGTGCGACCGCTGGGGGTTCCCGACCGTGGGAGACCCCGTCTCCCGTCCCTCGGCCCCCCTCCTCCGTCGCAGGGGTGTCCTCCACGTGCCCTGCCTCCTTCATTTGTCCCCTCTCAACTACTTTTCAGATAAAAGCAGAGCAAAAATTCTTTACTAATGAACTAAACTTATAGTACTGATAGCTTAAGACTTTTAAAAAATGACATCTACGTGAACTCATTGAAAAAATGATTCGTAGCGACATAAAAATGATCAAAGCTGGTCTCCATGGCCCAGAGAGGACCACATACTCCGAGCCGTGGCCGCTGGGCCTGGAAGGTGTGTGGCCCAGCGCCGTCCTGGAAGGTGTGTGGCCCAGCGCCGTCGATCACGCTGTCTGGTGAGGAAAGGTACCCTCCGGTATTTCCCATTAATACTGGGTCTTAGTCGTTGGCCTTTGACGACCTGCTAAAAGGAGATGGCAGCTTTGACAGTGACGTGGACTCAAGCGTAGATGCAAAAGGAGGTGACCTCAGTGGCCTATGTGTCCATCATTTTAGCGTTAGATCACTGAAAGCCACCGGAACGGTCCACGGTGGGAGCGGAGCGCTGGATGAATTACAGTCTGTGCGAGATGCAGCGCAGCGCACGGTGCAGTCCTACCAAGCAGGGTCAGCAAGCCCTGGCCCGTGGGCCACCTCTGCTCCAGCGCATGTGTTTATAAAGTTTTATCACAACAACGTGGGTCTGTCACGTAAGCCCTGGCCCGTGGGCCACCTCTGCTCCACCGCACGTGTTTATAAATAAAGTTTTATCACAACAACGTGGGTCTGTCACGTATACACTGCCTATGGCCGCTCAACAGCCGAGTTGAGAAGCTGCGACAGAAACAATACGGTTTGGTTCACGAAGCCTAAAATATGCCCTGTCTGACCTGCTACAGACGAAGTTTGTCAATCCTCGATGTAGAGCCACCAAAATCTGTTTTCTGTGAATATTTAGTGGCTGTCACAGTGCTTGTTATACTACATTTTTAAAAGATCTGGAATCAAAGCTGAGTCTCTAGCCTGATGGAAAAAAGTAAAACAGAAAAGTAACAGCTATAGCTGGGTAGTCGGAGTAGGAGGGATTTTTTTTATTTTATTAGATTTTCCTGTTTTCGATCAGAAAAAAATATTTTTGCAGCATCCCTCTCGCCAAGTCACTTCTAAGAATGGTCGATACCGGCACGTGTACCTTCTGGCGCACAGGTGAGCTCTGGATCAGCCACAGCCTAGTCGCTGATGATCAAAAGGAGCAAGGGAGACGTTTCTGGACTTTGTTGAATGACTACGCCTTTCAGCATGAACATTCTGGATGGTCTCCTTAGGCCTTGTTGTTGGTTATGTTTACCTGACACAAGAAACTTTTACCCTCCAAATCCAAGAAACAACTCGATTTCTGACCTCGGCAGGGACAACAGGGCTTTGCGAAAAGCTTCGGTTTTAACCAGGCTCTGCCACGTTCCAGCCGTGCGACTTTGATTAAGATACTTAACCTTCCCGAGCCTCAGTTTTTGCGGCTACGTTATGAGGAAAATAATACTTCTAATGTTGCTGTAAAGATTTAATGATATACGGTGACACCGCAACAGCGGCATTGAGAACCGGACACGGCTGTTCAATGATGTGTAGCTGTTACCACCACAGAGTAAGCACGGTGGCCGAATCTTTCTGAATTCAACCCATTTTCTAAGCCAGGCTTAGTAGCTAATAACAACAGCAGATTACAGCTACCATAAGTCCCGATGTGGCACGTCCAGCTCACAGGCCCACGCCATGCAGAGAGCACGTGGCGCTCACGAGAACCGCTTTAAGAACACACTGATAGCCCGTGCATGCCACCCCCACGATGGCGTGGCTCCCACCTCTGGGTGACAAGTGAGTGGAGTCAGGACTTTCTAGGGGAGGATTTCTCTCACATGGCCACCTGGCGACTGAAAAGATGGACTGTTAAGCATCGATGCCGGGTTTATAAGGTGGTTGGAACCGGCGGGGCATCCTGTTCAGTCACCTTTCTATGATGTCCCCACCTCTGACCACTCTGTAGGGATGGCAGAGGACACAGGGCTGGGACGGGCCAGCAGGAGGGCCCCTGGTCAAGATGCCATTTGCATAAATTCTCCTTCGTGGCTTCGTAGCATATGACCGTTCCTGCAGGTGTATCGGTATAGTCACTTGGGTTCACCCAAGGTCACTTATTTCTACTGAATATATCAAATATCTGAATGGGCATTCTTAAGTGAGACTTTGCAAATGGGCGAGACGTCACTAAGAAGTCAGCTAGAACATCTGCACGTCGTCTCATAATATTCTCTCAACTGCGAGCTGGAGACTCGGTCGCAGACATTCGAGTTTGGTGGAGCCCAGCGAGCTGCCTGCCCGTGTCTGCAGAGGGCCGGCCAGCCGCAGCTCAGCCTCGGCCTTGGCGTGTGATACGTGAGCCTTCGCCTCGGCACCGTTCCGTCCGTGCAACGGCTACTTATTAAACACCCCCTCCGCGCTGGGTGCGTGCCAGGCACCGAAAACACAGAGATGGAGATGATTATCCACCACCTCGAAGTCTGGTAGGAGGAGAGAGAGAGCCAGTGGTTTCTGTCACCTCTGCCACTACACGCGGCAAAGGAGTCGCTGAACAGACACGCTCTGCGACCAGGTGGGTACAAGGAAGGATGGGTGAGACCTGCCCTCGCCTCTGAACTACGCGTCCAGGAAAATGCAGAGATGAGACTGGAGCTCAAAGTAACAGGCCGGGGGGTGGGTGGGTATATGTGTGTGTGTGTGTCTGTGTGTGGTGTGTGTATGTGTGCGTGTGTGTGTGTCTGTGTGTGCGTGTGTGTGTGCGTGTGTGTGCGTGCGTGTGTGTCTCTGTGTCTGTGTGTGCGTGTGCGTTTGTGTGTGTCTGTGTGTGTGTCTGTGTGTGTGTGTGTGTGTGTGTGTGTGTGTGTGTGTGTGTGTGTGTGTG